GAGAGGAGAGAGGAGGAGAGGATGGAAACATGTCAATAGTTTAATATTTATAATATGTGGAGCCTTCATTTTTATTTCCAACATTGGTAACACTTGTAGACATGTTGCACATGTAGATACTATTGTTTGCCAATTTTTGTAAAAGAAATGATCAAATAAATTCAACTTGTTCTTCATCTTTTTTAATGATTGATGTCATCATAACTGTGACATGTTCTAGTTCTTTCTACTTCTATTCATGATGGTTGTGTTTCCATAGAGGAGCAGGACTTTTATTTTGTAGTTAAAATCAAGACCACAGAGAGAAAAACGTGACGGGAGCAACAAGAAAGGTGTGTTTCATGTACGATCCGGTTAAACTCTTCTGAATAAACGTCACAAGCATCCCGTGAACCGAGTCTCTGACCTTGAGCGCCTCGGTCTGCAGGCCGAGTCCTTTGGTGCACAGCTCCATGACGCTGTAGGAGCAGAAGGTGTCTCGCACCTTCAGCTGGCTGACGGCCAGCAGCCACAGCGCCGGGTTGGACTCCAGCTCCACCGGGGGGATCAGGATGGACTGGTGGCCGGAATACACGCTGCAGAACACACCGCACGCCTTCCTTTAATGCATTTACATCTACTGTCCATGAAGGAGCCACACGGCTCAGACAGAGAGTCATTCATCACAGTCCGATGTTGTTGCTTTAAAGTCTCTGAGTGAGATTCATAAGACAGAAATCTGCTCTCGCCAAGTTCAGAGTTTATGAGCTGAGGATTTAAAACTAAGCAGACGTGAGATGAGGAACCAGAGCAGATAGAACGTCTGCTCTGGTTATTAAACGGCAGCTTTGTGACATGAATCAGAATCTGAGCATAACGTGTAACAGACTGTAATAATGGTGACAGAAACAGGTGTTGAGTCTAATGAGAGGTGAGTTGCATTATGGGAAATGTAGGATCCAGTGTTTTTGGAGCTTCAAGTTAAAGTCAGGACACCTCTCTGCAGTAACTAGTTGTTTTTGGCCACTTGTTTGCAGGAGTTGTGAAGTCAATACTGACACATCAGTTCCTTTACGGTTGATGTGTGAAACTTTATTTACACATCCATCGGTTACAGAGCGACAAAAGGATTCCTTAGGAGCTCTCTTTGAGCTCTGTTTTTGGTCTCCACCACCTCCTGATGGACATATCTGTCTCTTTAGCTGCTAAACGCTCCGCAATGTTCACCAGCTGGTCTCGAACTGAGTCAGTCAGCTGCTGAGCGGACTTTAAAGATGTCTTCAGTGTGTACGGTGAGTAGACGGAGACACCAACCTGCAGAGACACCAGAGGACGAAGCCGAGGCCGCAGTACGGATCCAGACAGATGGCCACTTCTCTGGAAGGGTACAACTCACACTGCAGCTTCACCGACCGACAGAAGGCTCCAACGGCATTATGGGATATCTGGAGAGAGAGAGAGACAGAGGGGGAGGGGGAGGGAGAGAGAGAGAGACTTTAACTTTAAATAAATGTATTTGCTCAGATGTATTTCAAACACTGATAATAAAGCAGCTGTGTGTGTTGTGTACTGAGTGATGAGTGATGGATGAGGACTGATGAGGACTGAGGAGGACTGAGGAGGATTATCGCTGAGCTGACCTGGACTCCGGCCAGCATGCCGGTCGTGGACACGCTGAAGTCCAGATAGGCCAGACCGTCAGGGTTGGTGGGCTTATAGAGAGCTGGAGGCTTCTTCTTTGGCAGGTCATCTGCAGCACACACACACACACACACACACACACACACACACACACACACACACGTTTGTTTTATGAAACACTGAACTCAGGTTGAACCCACGATGCTACAGCAGCTGGTGAGCAGCCGTTGATGGAGGTTTAAAGTGTCTTGTTGCAGCAGATGTTTTGTTGCTTTGACTGAGTTCAAACCAGGATTGTTTTATCTTCATGAAAGACAAACATTTAATACTTCAAGTGCACAAAAAAGTTCACTTGTTTATTCTGTTTCTGACTGAACGTTTACTGCAATTTCCACCTCAACAGCATGAAGAACCTAAAAACACAACGCAGTCACATTCTGCTGGACGAACATCTGGATCGCACAACATCGTCATGTGATCGTATCCACTGTACATCACCTCCTGTGTCACCGCTCTCTCGTGACAGAACATAGTTTTGTTGTGACTTCCTGTCTCCAAACTACGACTACTTCAAGTGCTCTGTGTGTTTGTGTGTTTTTGACCAATGTGTAGCGCTGTTTGGACATGTTGCCAGTGAAACACAAAGAGAGGATGAAGGTTGCTGGTTAGAAGATGTTGATGTTGGAGCTGCACTCTCATGGTTGAGGTTAAGGTTGTGTTCCTGAGGTCAGAGGTCAGCGGGCGTACCCGTGTCGAGGACAGGCGGCCAGTTCCTGATGTCCACGGTGGCCGTGGCCTCTTTGGAGCGCAGCAGCTTACAGATGATCGCCGTGGTCATCACACAGGCCGAGTGGCTGACCTGCAGACAATAGCTTGATTATTAAACTGTAATATTTAATGTCGTTATTTGAATATAGCTACACAGCAGCTAGCAGAGCCCGTTGTGTGATTAGCAGCAGCAACGTGAACTCAAACACACAAAGTATGATCTGGTGTTTAGTGATCTCTGACCTCCACGATCATCTTGACGGTGGGCAGCGTGGTGGAGATGTTCTGAGGGTGAGGCGGTCGCACCGTGATGGGAACACAGCCGGCGTACAGGGAGCCGTAGAAGGCTGCAATCAGGTCAATACCTGCACACACACACACACACACACACACACACACACACACACACACACACACACACACAGAGGGGTGTGAGGGATGAACTCAGCTCTGTTGTTTTGTGGGTTAAAACAGCCTGAGTCCTCTCTGACCTGGTGGGTAGACCAGAGCCACGTGGTCTCCCTCCTGCAGACCGGCTCTCTCCATCAGCAGAGCCGCCACTCGCTCCGCCCTCTTGTGGAGCTGCAGACAGGTGAGGGAGCTGGACACCGCCCCCTGCAGGAGGAGGAGGAGGAGAGAGTGACGAGAGGAAAGAGACTAAAGCAGATTAACGTCAAAGTGAACCACATGGACCTCGTTAGTCATCTCTCTATCTAAGACCAGGTTTGGTGTCACTCCCTCAGGGTTAAAGGTGCGTTCACACCAGATGAGAAGAAAAGGTTTTTGCTCGGTGCGATCACTTGTCGTCTTGCGGACAGACCTGACGCAGCATGAGCTCAGACTTTTTACAGATCGGCATTATAACGTAGGTATCCCGGAACCCTTTTTATCAGTTTATTGCTATAAAATCAAAGTGAAATCCGTTTATTTTGTGTTCGTACCGCCGTAGTAATCCAGCCTACCTGGGACCACGACGAGTGAGTGAGATTAAAGGTGATATTTGTAAAATTGGTTTGCAGTCGACGTCTCGTTCTCACTGCACGACTTCAGCCGGATTTTATACTCGCCCAAAAGCAGCTGAAACATTTGCATCACGGACCAAAGTTGCTCATAAAGGAAACAACAACTATAACTAATAAAGACGTGTGGAAACAACTTCAACACGCACGACTAAACACTCAACACATCAAAAAGGCCTCTTAAAAACTGGTAAACAACTATCAATAAAAGGTGTTTTTGCTTGTAAAAAGTAAAAGAACTCATGTTGAACAATATTTCACGAGTATTAGGAAGTGTTTGTCGTAATGAGCATTATTAGCATCTTTAAGATATTTAAGATGCATTGTGTAAAAACTGGTACGTGAGTGTGACTAGTAGACGTAGAGACTTCCTGTCTGCGGTCATGTGATGTGACTACTTAATAAAAGAAGGGACTTCTTCTTCTGCTGTAATGTGGTAACGTGTAGCTGTGGGTGGAGGTGCGTTGCTGTTACCCTGGAGCTGAGCAGAGTGTAGAGGACGTGGTCCGGTGTGGTCTGAGCCCTCCACTGCAAAACCTCCGACAGGAACAGGAACTGAAACACAGTCAGAGACGCAGCATCCAACCAATAGTACCTGAGTTACATGAAATATATCAGTATGCAAACACTGGACACGACGCCGGCATTTATAGCCCACAACAGTATATACTGTATATATATACGTATATATATGCTGTATATATATACGTATATATATGCTGTATATATATACATATATATATGCTGTATATATATATATATATATATATATATATGCTGTATATATACGGGTTCACAGAGGCCCTAAAACATGAATCTCCACCGTCAGCACATCATGTAAAAGTGCACAGGAGGCACAAGTGGAGAAGGTTTCTCTACAGCCGATACAGGACTCCTGTCTGTGAGTAAATCTTTAGTTTAATGCTTCATATCCAGCTGAGACTGCAGGACGTTAAAGCGGTCGAATCAATATCAATAAACCACAAAGCAGCTGAGAAACAAGCTGCCGACTGGAGAAGAAATTCATGAACATTTTCACTGATGCAGCGACTGAAACAAGCGGTCTGTCGGCTGCTGAACGATTGTAAATCAGCTGAAACTTTGATTGATTCTTTAAAACTTCTCAATGAGGAACTCATCAAAACATTCCTTCACTTTAGCCTCTAAACTTCTGCACATGTCAAAAGGCTTCACGCTCTAACATTCATCCCCAGACACAGAGGAGGAAGTTACTCCTACACGATCAACGATATAATATCATTTATATTTAAAAACACGGTAAGATCAGAGCTGTGTGAGTCGACTGTCTGTATTAGAGATTCATCTGATTATTTAAATTATTAGTCAGTGAATCTAACATCTCGTTATATTTGAAGAACAGTTAAAAACCCAAAATATTCAGTTTTTAACTATAAAGAACACAGAAAAGAAGCAAATCCTCATATTTAAGTAGCTGGAACCCGAATGATTTCTCTGTAAAACGATTTAAACGTTTGATGAGAAGATTGTCTGATGTTGTTTTTAATGACGTAGTCGAACTAATAAAGAACTCAACAAAGCACAGAGTCTTTTGTTCACCTGGTCGTTGTCGTCCGTTTGTCCTAAATCTCTGCCGCTGGCCTGAGCGATCCTCTTCCCTGACACCAGATTCCCCACCATCACAGAGGCAGGTCCGATCTCTGCAGCACACACACACACACACACACACACACACACATTAACATCTGTGCACAGTAACGAGCCACCTCCACAGACCCGTGAACACTTGTGTTTTGTTTCCCACCTGGTTGTTTCTGCCGGGGTTTGGGCAGGTTGGTGACGCAGGTGTGGGGGCACATGAGGACGTTGCAGGGGTGCAGCCCCCCCTCCAGGTACAGCTGCTTGATCTCAGACAGGTGGATGCCGCCCAGAGGGGTCTTGGGCAGAGTGTTGGCCGGGACCAGAGCCAAGCAGAACACGCCCACCCCGTGGATGCTGTCGATGGCCTGAGAGAGACGGAGGACGGTCAGACACAAACGGAGGTTTACAGAGAAGGAAAGACGTGAAGCGGCTCCACTGCTGGTTTATAAAACGACCCAGATCTTCCTCATTCAAACGCACCAGCGTTTCCTTTAACCCCGCCTCCCTGCCCTTGATTCAGCCCAGACAGCAACCTCCGGTTCTGAAAAGTGAAGCCAAAGCTTCATGTGTTAAAG